TAAGTACTTAGACACAATAGACCTCCCAAAAATCACGACCCAACAGGCGACCGATCTCATTAGACCTATCACAGAGGAAGAACTCCATACCATCATAAAACATCTACCGAAAGGCAAAGCCCCAGGCCCGGATGGGCTTGATAATACATACTACAAACAATTCCACCACATACTGACGCCCCACCTGGTGCGCACATTCACGGAGGCGACCGCCGCACAGAAATTGCCACAAGACACGCTATTGGCCCACATCATAACGTTACAGAAACCAGGGAAGCATCCCACCAAATTTTAGACCCATATCCCTGCTCAACACTGACGCGAAAATATTCGCCAAACTATTCGCGATGAGACTGAGCACTCTTCTCCCACAGATAATCCACAAAGACCAAGTTGGGTTTGTGTTAGGTACACAGGGAGCGGATAACACGCGCAAGGTACTGAATATACTGCACAGTTTACCCAAATTACACAAGGGAGGAGGGGTTGTCATCTCCCTAGACGCCGAAAAGGCGTTCGACCGACTGCACTGGGCGTTCCTGGAGGCAGTCATGATAAAATTTGGAGTACCAGGAGAATTTAGAGCAGCGGTCAAAGCGTTATATAGCGCCCCGACAGCCCAGGTACTTAACGCGGGTTTTCTTTCTAACCCGTTTAGTATCTCAAATGGCACGAGACAGGGGCAACAAAGATTAGACAACATGACTCTATCCACGGGGTACGTATTGGGGAAAAGGAATACAAAGCCAACTTATTCGCGGACGACGTGCTCCTGACCCTAACGCAACCACTGATTTCACTGCCAAATCTACTGACGGTAATAAAAGAATATGGAGACAGCTCCTATTACAAACTAAACGTGACGAAAACCCAGGCCATGGGGATTGGGGTACCTAATGACGTACTACAGGTATTGCGGGAGAAGTTTGTAATTGACTGGAGGGCAGACAGCGTCTCTTTCCTGGGACTTAAGTTAACAAAGACAATGGGGGGACTATTCAAGGCTAACTACGAAGCCCTGCAAAAAGAGATAGAGGCCAGTTTGGCCTCATGGGGAGATAAATACCTCTCCTGGCTGGGCAGGATGGCAGCATTTAAAATGTCTATCCTCCCCAAATTACAATACTTATTTCGAACACTGCAAATCGACCTTCCAACCTCCTACTTAACCAAAACACAGGCGATGCTTACTAAATTCATATGGGCACCCAAACGAGTGAGAATAGCTGCCAAACACCTGTATAGACCCACTCACCAAGGGGGTCTAGCCCTACCAAACATCAAACTCTATTATCAGACGACGTAACTAGCCCCAGTGCTGGGGATACAAGCCCCAACCCCCGTCCCACATTGGTTGGAAATAGAAAATTATTGGCTTCAAGGGACAGACCTCCGCAGATTGTTGTGGGTACCTAAACCACTACGCCCCTACCAACCTAATATCTTACCCACCACGAAAACATTGCTGAGGACTTGGGACAGAACACATAAATCACTGCTCTCTACGTCACCGTGGTCACCGGCAACACCCTTATCATGCCTACATGTAGCAAACAACACATTTGACCACAGGGAATGGACGAAGAGAGGCTGCACGCATGTGAGAGACCTACTGGAAGCACAACAGATAATATCATTCCCTACAATCCAGGAAAGATTCGAACTGCCCCCCAAATTGATATTCCCATACCTTCAGCTAAAATCCATGCTAGGGGCCCAAAAGTCCACAGTGGAGGGGGAGACCGAGCTCACAGAGTTTGAGAGGACTTGTTTGAACCCAAAGAAGAAGAGGGGCCTGATTTCCCTGTGCTATACACTCCTAAATATAGGCGATCCCGTACACATGGATAGATTCAGTGCAGCGTGGCAGGCAGACATTGGGAAGCATTTCGATGCAACCCAATGG